GAATTTTGTACATGAAAATAATTTTCTACTCAAAATGCAACATTTGTTCTTGCAAAAATTATTTACGTGCGTTTAGAATAGAGACACAGAAATAAAGCCATGAGCTACAGCAGGCTCTTGTGAATGCCAGGGCTTTATATCAGCTGTTTCTGGTACTACTGCACTGCTAACATGTCGGTTAATTTGACACACTTTGCTGTATCTATTTCTTGTTTATTTTTCTCTCTTAGTTTTTTTTCCCCTCTTTTCTTTCTTCGTTTGTATCCCGCTTTATTAACACCAACTCTGTTCTAGGGTGCGTAGGTGCACACGGAAAGTGGGAAGGGCCAGAGGCGTTAAGAGATTTGATTGAAAATGAAAATTGAACTAATGCAAACAAGAAGAAAAAAAATCACCCACTACAAATGCTTCGGCCCACACTCGAAAATACCCGGTATGCCAGATTACCAGTCCGGTATTGTGCCAAAAAGTGATTGCCTGCCAAAAACTGATTTCCAATGTTTCCGTGTGTTTTTTACGTGTAATATCGTAACGTATGTTGTTAAATAGACTTTGGTGAACAGGTATTACAAAGAGGTTATATATAAAATTAAAAAATTTCCTGTTTCTCAAGTATCTTTGTAACTGGTTACATTATAACCAACCAGCTCCCTTTTGTCACTTAAAATATGTTTACAGAACTATTTTTGCTTTTGTTGCAATTTCAGCTGTCCTCTTGGCCAGATTACTCTTAAAAGAGACATTTTTAAAGTCAACAGAATTTTTTTTTTAAGTGCATAAATAAAGGATACATAAAAGTCACTGCCAAAAACTGATCGCGGCTTCTACCTTGTTACAGGAATGTTGTTTGTTGCTCAAGATGACTTGATATCATTGATGAGGGATACATTTGAAATATGTTTCACATATTATAGACCAATAAGTTCTTTATAGCAGTTTAAATACAAGCAATCAGTTTTTGCCAAATACCGGAAATCAGGTTTTGGCAGACAACCACTTTTTGGCACCGCTCCTGGATATAGGTCAAGATACTCTACGCTGAAACTGAGTTTTCACTTCAGAACAAACCTGGATTTTTGCGACGTCCCTGGCGCAGCCCACTACTTTCATACCGAGCCGGACCAACTCTACAGCTATAGCCGCCCCAATGCCGACCGAGGCTCCGGTCACCAGAGCCACTCTGCCATGCCAGCGCTCCATCACAGCGATTACCTGCAACAAGCACGAAAGAAGCACAAATACGAAGAGAGAGAGCGACGGATCTTTCACTGTCCCGTGTGAGCATTTATATATATAGAGAGAAACATCTGAGTCATGTCAGTCCGCCTTTTCCTCTCAAACAGCTACAGTTCTCCGCCCTGCAGGGAGGCTTTCAGCCAATCCTGTTGTCAGGTTTAT